GGCAAATGAGGTCCAGGCAGAAAAAGAACATAATGGTTTCAAAATCTGAGGGACTGGTTTGGACAAAACTCAGCAGCACTTTTTCACGTGGCTGTTGATAAAAAATAGAATTGCCATCACCAACATCCACTGATGGGTATGGTACAAGGAGAATGCACTGGATACAAAAGATATCCAGTTCATCAGGAGGCTATGAGTTCAATCCTAGGTAGAGGCTAATATTTGGAATAGACTCTCCTGCCTGAGCAGGGGGTTGGACTAGATGACCTCCAAGTTCCCTTCCAACTCTGTTATTCTATGAGTTAAATCTCAGAGAATAACAAGAGTAACAGAACAGAATAAGAGTTGGAAGGGACCTTTGAGGTCTTCTAGTCCAACTCCCTGCTCAGCAGTGGTGGGATTCAAATTTTTTTACTACCAGTTCTGTGGGCGTGGCTTGGTGGGCGTGGTAGGGGGAGGAGACTGTAAAATCTCCAGTCTGGAGATTTTCCAAACTACTCAAAATTTCCGCTACCGGTTCTCCAGAACTGGTCAGAACCTGCTGAATACCCACCTCTGCTGCTCAGGCAGGAAATTCTATAACATTTCAGACAAATAGTTGTCCAATCTCTTCTTAAAATCTTCTAGTGTTGGAGCATTCACAACTTCTGAAGGCAAGTCATTCCACTGATTTTTTTTTTTTTTTTACTGCCATGAAATTTCTCCTTAGTTCTAGGTTGGTTCTCTCCTTCATTAGTTTCCATTCATTGCTTCTTGTCCTGCCTTCAGGTGCTTTGGAGAATAACTTGACCCGCTCTTCTTTGTGGCAGCATCTTAGATATTGGAACACTGCTATCCTTCTTTTCATTAAACTAGACATACTCAATTCTAGCAACCGTTCTTTATGTTTTAGCCTTCAGTCTTCTAATCATCTTTGTTGTTCTTCTCTGTTCTCAGCATCTTTTCTACATGGTGGCAACAAAAACTGGATGCAATATCCCAAGTGTGGTTTTATCAAGGCATTATAAAATGGTATTAATTCTTCACATGATCTTGATTCTTTCCCTCTGTTGATGCAGCATAGGAGGGATAGAATAGTAGATTAAAACAGATATTTTTTTTAGATTGTGGGAAAGGTGCTGAATCTCCAAAAGTGGCAAAGTTTGCAACTCTCATTAACAACAGTTTACACTGCATCCTCAAAACCAGGCAGAAAATAAGAATAACTCAAGCCCAAATAAAAATGGAGTGATATGGAGTAATTGGTCACCACTATCTATGCCTACCAGAACAAATCACATTGGGGCAAGCCAATTGGAATCCAATTATACATAACAATTGTGGCAGAAGTAAGGCTACAGAGGATCAGGAGTGGGAGTGGAAAATCACAATTTTCCTTGCCAACTATGTCTCATCTGTTGGGGTAGTGATGGATGAAGGAACAACCCTTGTGGCTACCTATGTTCTATCCAATATCATGGCATTGTGGAGAAAGTAATTTCTGCCAATGACCTCTTTCCTGATAATAACTAAATGTAATTGGTGGCATCCTGCCATTGTTCTGATAGGAAATTTCTTTAATGGAGAAATTAGACTTTCATCTAATTTGTTTGCAAGTGATGGATGACATTCCTTATAAGGCATTAAATCAAAAACCTGCCAGCAAAACCTTCTTAATTTATAGTTATCAACCTGGAAAGTTTTATTTATCCAAATGTTTTATTTCCAGCATTTGAAAAACAAAGATTCTAAGTCCACTTTTGGAAAGGAAGTTTCCCCAAAAACAAAGTGTGATTTATTTCTGAACAGACACGGGAAAAATCTGCTGCTTTATTTCAACTTGTTCATGCAGCATACAGCAAATTTCCTGAGTTATTTTCCTGGTTCTGCATCTCCTTTTTAGACTGTTTTTCCATAGCTGTATAAATAGCTTTCGAATGTGATCTAATAGGCAGAAACTTCAAGTTCCCCAAAAGGGGTACCTTAAAAAAAATTTTTTTGTTCTCATCTAAATGAATAGAGGTAAGATTCTTTATAACGAAAAGGGTTACCAAAGAAATGCACATTTATGCCAAGATTGTTTTTTTCTTATAAAAAAAATCAAAATTTGCACAAACAATGGGCCCTTTTCCCTTTAAAGTCCTAAAAGTCCTAAGTGCAGATAACCTGGCCATGAAAGATGGTGACATTATTATTCTACATAGTTTACTTCTAAAAGAAGAGAAATGTATATTAGATAGGAGACTAGCAATCTGTTCTTGTACAATGTATATATATATATGTATATACAATGTATATCATGGCTGCATGTACTCCTTCCCTAAAGTAAGCGAAATCTTATGGTCTCACACATGATTACCAATATCTTACACCAGAACATGAACACCTCACCAAGGGGATCAGTAATCCCATATAAACGCAACATTTTCTATGAGATCATTCAAATCTCATGCATTTTTAATCATCTCTAAAGATTTGGGTGAAAAATGTTCTGTTGCATTTTAAAGCAGGCAAGATGTTACTCTATTGCTCTCATTTAAGATTCTTGAAATCATAGGTTTGCTTCAACATTGGAGACATTCCCTCCCACTTCAAATAAATTCAAATTTATTACTCAATAATCAATCCTTAAAATGTGTTATTTTATGCTTAGTCATAAAAAAATGATTGTTACTGTCCCATAACTGAAGATACTAGCCCAAGGGAGGTAATAGTTTCCTTGCATTTGCTGGAGTTTATTAGAACAGCCTACACCATAGAAATTGGTAAAGAAATTGACCTAGGAGAATAAAAGATTCTTATACTGTAGGCTGAAAGTCTGCTCATACTGAATCTAGGTAGGGTAAAGATGATATAGTATAGTCTTCTCTGTGGCTAACATGGCACCATCTTGACAATATCAAAGCCAACGGATCCAGGAATCCTTAAGAATCTGCTAAGGCCCTTTCCTGTCTCCATTTTATGATGTCACACAAAATGTAGCTTAGAATGTATGTCTGGGACTAGTGGTTAGCTTTGAATTAGGAAGAATGTGTATCATTGACAAATTGTCCATGTTTTTCAGCTGTTCTCACACTGTTATGATCAGGTGTCTTCCAGATATGTAGTTGGAGGAAAGAAAGAAATGCCAGAGCTGCTGACATCCACAACTGATTTTGTATACCTTTGCAACGGAAGGCACTATTTCTCATTATTCTGGGGTAAAAATAAAATTTTAAAAAGCTTAAGCATCACAATGAAATACCAAGGAAACTCCTGCAAAAGCCATTAACCAAACCCACCCCTTGAAATACGGCACATGGTTTCACCCACTTTGCAGTACTAAAGTATTTGTACCCTCTCCAATACATTTAATCTAGCTGCTACCACTTGTGCATTCAGAGGTAATTCATCTTGTAAGAGAATGCTGGTTTAACCATCAGTGATTTTGAAGACCAAGAGAATTACCCTTTTAATGCCACACCTGAAAGCTAAGAACTTATAGAAGACTAAAAAAAAAAGCATATTCAGTTTCCCTAAGGGATCATGGCTGGACTGAAAGGTAACCGCACCTTCTCTCTCAGGTAAACAAAATATGGATGAGATGCAACAAATGGCTTTCTGAAATTCTTAGGACAAATGGTAGAAATACCAGGTGGGTGTTCCTTTTTCTCTCATATGCTCAATTTTAGGGCCATTTCTGAAAACAGCAAGGCCCTTTGTTATTTGCCAATACTTCTTATGCCCAGCTTAAGGTCCGAGAAAGGTCCCAATTCCACCTACCTGGAAGAAACAAGTTTGCCACCTGAACTTGGCAGCATCGAAATGTTCATTCCCTACGTAATTCCCTACCTACAGAGAAAGCCAAAGACTGTCCAGTAAACCTCTCCTCCCTCCCTTTTCGTCCTTCACGGCTTAACAGCATGGCTGGATGGCAGCCTCTAAAAACTGATCTTGTCTGATCTCAAAGGGGGAAAAAAGTTAAGCAGAATCAGACCCGAGTTATAGGCTGAAGGGGGGGGGGGGGAATCCTAAACTATATCGTTGCCAAGAAAAACAAAACTATGCTTGTGTGTCATGAAGCCACTGGCAGCTTAGCAGGACTGAAAAAGAGTCTTAACTTTTATCCACCTACCGGCTTGTTCTCGGAACAAGGAAATGGGATCTCAATAAAAAGGGGGCGGTGGAGTTTCCTTTTGGATGTGTAGAGAAGTCTGACCTACCGATTGTGTTAAGTCAAACGCTGCTTTGGTCGGAATCGCAACGATACGGGATTGATCGCGAATACTGAACCTTCGCTCCCCTTTGGAACGACTGAAGCATTTTTTTCCCGAGTGAAATTGCAAAAAGAGACGGCCGTGGAGAAGACCCCCGCGCGCATTGCAAAGGATGCTCTTGAGGCAGCCGGCACCACCTCGAAACGTTTCCTGATTTTTTTTTTTTAATATTTAAGCCTGTCGCCACCCGGGAGCAAACCCACGACTACAGGAAGACGCGTAGGGACCGGGACCGACTTCTGACGCCACGAGGTGAGTTTGCTTTCGTGCAAGAAGGCTGCTGCGCACGTTAAGAACTATTTCCCCCCCACCCCACCTCGAGTTCTCCGCCCTTTTCTCCCGGCGCGGCGCTTTCCAAGCTCCTACAACCACTACTCCTTTGCAACTCGTCAGCTCTTCCCCAAAGGACGCCCTTTGCAGACGCAGCTCAGGGATTGGAACCGCCCTTCTCTCTCTCTCTCTCTCTCTTCCCCCCCTACCGCGTCCCCGTGAACCCTGGACCACCCACCCAACCTCCCTCCCTCCCTCCCCGCCCCGGTGCAAAAGCGGCGGCCTCGCGTGCAAGAAGCCGAGGCGCCAGCCCGCTCCCCCCCTCTTCCTTCCCTCCCCGCCTCAGGCGTTGTCCGGGGACGCTTCCCGAAACTGAGCGAGGAGAGCAGGAGCGTCCGCCTCTACCTGCCCGCCTTTCGGCTCGAGCTGTCGAGGAAGTCACCTGCTTCCCCCCTAAGCTCCTCCCTCCAGCCCAGCCTGTTTGAAAGGGGGGGCGGTGGGGAGAGCCGGGCAAGGGAGAGAAGAGCGGCGGGTCGCCCTGTGGCTTATAGACGGGCGGTTTTTTTTTTTTTTTTTTCCCCGCTGGCTCGCGCCGGCTCTTCTCCCACTCCGCTCGGTCCTGCCTCCCTCCCGGCCGAGGGAGAAAGGGAGCGCGAGAAGTCATGCATCCATTAATGAACTCCGCGCGCGGGAGTGGCAGCGAGCGGGGAGGGGGAGGCCGGCCCGGCTGGCGTTCCTCCAAGCACCCCCCCACCCACCCCCACCTCCGTGTCTCTTCTTCACCGCCGGTTCTGGTCCCTGGGACTGACTGACGGACTGAATGAATCATGAGGTGGATGCTGCTGCTGCTGCTGCTGCTGCTGTTGGTGGTGTGAGGCGTTTATCTGGGGCAGACGGTACCGCAGCCTTCAGCCTTCTTCGCGCGGCGGGGTGAAGCGGGAGGGAGAGAGAGTGAGCGACCTCCTTTTTCTCCCCCGCCTCCCCCGGCCAGTTCCGGGACCTGCCACCGACCCATTGTGCCAGCCTTGCCCGCCAACCCCTTGGGGTCCTGCAGCAGAAGAACCGCGGCTCTCCATGGCTCCTGAGGAGGTAACCCAATTAAAAAAACAACAACCCCGCGAAGTGGTTTTGTTTTGGCTAGCCGAGCCACTTTCTCTCTTTCGGGAGAAAGCTAAAAAAAAAGCAGCTGTTAAAATGAGGGGGGCTTTGGGGGGGAGTTTAAGGATACTCGCCCTGGGGCCGGTATCTGGGCCGAGTGCTGTCCAGAGCTTTGAGCGCTGTTAGGTCTTGGGAAGTGAAGTCCACGTGTAAATCTGGTGCGTGTCTGAATGTTGTGTCACTGAAGTTCCTCGGCGGCTCAAAGCTCCCCTCGCCTCTCCTGCCAAAAGACCTACAGGCTGAGTTGGAACTCCTCTCAGCGGAGGCTTCAGGAAAATATCTGTGACTTAAAAAAAATAAAAAATAAGCCGTTGGCAAGCCGGGCTGGGAGAAGGAGACCTGTGAAGTACTAAAAGCGGGTATAAGGCGTTGATTTCGTTCTTATCCCCCAAAAACGAACACTTGCGGATTAATTTGGCTACTTAACATTACCTTTAAAGGTAGACGGCAGTGCCAAATTCACTTTTTTTTCTTCCTCCTACCCCTCCTCAGTACCACATTTAAATTTGCCTCAGAGAAAGACTTGGGGGATCTTTTCTAAAATAGAAAGCAGAGCCCAGAAAAATCCTGCATTTCGTCCTGTCAGTTTGATGGTTTTCGTAGCCTCCGAAGTACTTGTTTTATCTTAAAATACTATTCTATTTTTTGACATTTCAACGGTTCATACCTGAGGAGGGTCACTTAAATTGCCATCCGCTGGAAGTTCACTACTTCAACTTACAGTGAGTGGCAGTTATTTATTGCATGAGGGGGCTGCCTTTTGAAATCTAGAGATAATTCACTTCTTGTGGCGTCATTTTTTACAAGCCAACTGCCCCTGGGTCAGACTTGTCTAGTAGTCACGTGTACTGATCTGGAAGATTGGCTGGTATCACTGATAACTTGCATGTCTGAGAGGAAGAACCTGCATGTATTTAGATGTGCTCTCTGTTTGTTGCTTCAAATTATTCCAGGACTGATTATACTCATTATACAGATTCTGTAACTGAGCAAGGTCGGTATGAACCCCCTAATGCTCATTACATTAGCCAATATTATATAAATGCTTAGACCAAAAGTGGTTTAATCTTAATCTTGGTCACCACTATTTAATTCATATGTGCTTTTTTTCCCCCCACAAGGAATTACAGCCACTTAACCTGTTTAGAAAGTATAATGACTAACAACTTTGGGGTAAATGTAGAAATACTTTAATAGCGCTATATGGTTTGACCTAATATTCCAATCGAATACAGTACTAAGTTAATTCATATTTGAAATCATTTTTGATAGTAGTTTGTAGTGGGACTAAAATTACTGTAGTTGAATTTCATCTTTGTGTTGACAGAATAGCTGAACTTTTTTTAAATCTAGCTTTCTGATTTCATCATTTATTAAAAAAAAATGTTTTGTAATATGCAAATATTGAGAAAGGGAGAAATGAATGGAATTGGAAACCAGCCAAGATATATTTTAAAAGAATAATCTATTTAACTGAGCAATCTGCATAGTAGTACGGGTGAACCATAAGAAAGGGATCTGATAGATTTGGAAGTACTTTATTTTAATCACTCAGTGAGGATACTTGAATCCTGAACAGGAGCTACATTAACAATAATTCCTTCTTCCTCTAAATGAACCTGTTGCAATGAACAATGCTTGGAGTAAAAATCACCAATCAGAACTATCATTCGGCAGCTAATTCTTGGATTTTAGAATCCAGGAAAATAGATCCCACAAAATAAGAAATGCCTTAAAGAAATCTAATGCCTTTAAATAATTTGTTGTTTCAAGTTGTCTGAAATGAATATTGTTCAAGTTACTTGTCTAATGTGTAATGACTATTTATTTAATGACTAAAAGTTCTCTCCTTGTATTATAAAATCAACTATTAATGAGGAGCAAAGATAGCAGTTCTTTGTGGGACAGAAAAAAAATCATATCACGTTCAGTTAAAAAAAAATCTGATATATTACTTTATGTTGCAGTCATTTATCATTCTTGAAAGAGAACCATAAAGTATTAATCTGTTAAAAATTTATCAGACTCTGCTTGTGTAATTGTTCCTAATTTCAGGAAGATGTTCATATTTAGAAGACTAATGCTATAGCCAGTTGCACTTGTTTTTTTTTTTTTTTTTTAATTCTGTGAACCGTATCATTAGTAAACATAGAAAGGATTTAAATGAATTTGGTGTTTATTGTGCTGTGACAAACCCTCCATTTAATTTGTGGCTGCCTAGCAGCAGCATCTAACCAACCTTAACTGATTTTAAGCAGTTAAATAGGGCCAGATCTGATTAGAACTTTCATGGGAGATTAATAATTGCATCTGAAGGCTGTAGGCTAAAGTGGGAATTTGAAGAAAAGATTTCAGAATAAGGCAATAGCAAACCACTTAAATCTTGTTCACAAGAAAACTACACAGATCTGCTATTGAAGTTGCTGAGTCAAGCTTGACTCAAACAGACTGCAATTTAGATAGTTCCAGCTACAAAGGCATGTATAGTTTGCTGGTGGTTCCTATGTTGCCATTGATGATAATAGCAAAATATATGCTTAACCTACCATCTTCCATGAAAAAAATCCCAGAGCCTATAAAGTACTCTGCTTGTAGTTGTTGTTTGAATTGAGCCACTTGTCAGAAATGGCATAGGTTCTCCTGCTTGAGCAGGGTGTTAGATTAAATGACCTCCAAGGTCCCTTCCAACTCTGATTCTGTTCTGTTCTGAATACCTAAGTCTTATTTCAAAGGGGCAAATGGCAACTCTGTTCTTCTCCCCAACCCACTCCCATCACCATTTTTTTTCTTGTTTGAATTCTTACATGTTAATTCTGGTTCTGACTCTCCAGAAGTGTTAATGAATTTCTGATTGCCTTTTAATGTAATCCAAACAATATGACACTCTTATTGTTTTCTTCCAGGACTCTATGTCGGAATAGGAATTGTGCAAATAAGGATCTGCTATAGCTAATATTAAGTCTAGCAGTAAGAAAACTTCTAATTTGATTCTGTGTACTTTTACTGATTTCCCAATTTGTAGGTTACTTTACAATTAATCCATTTAATGAAAGAGTAAACAATTCCCCTGATTCCAGGCTTTGAACAATCATGCTATTAGAATTTTGGTTTATTCCAGGTTACTATGTACTTTGCTCTGATTCACACCCATAAAAATCTATCATGGGAAATGAGGGTTATTAACTTCATATTTATGTGTTTAATTCTACTACTGGAAAGGAGGTTTTGAAGATGGACGTTCTCTGGAATTGGAGCCTGTAACAGTATTTTATGCCCTCAGTATACAAGGAATGACCTAACAATTGGTCTAAAGGTTTTAGTCCAACATCTAAACATACCAATCAGTATATTTCCAGGGAAACATTTTTGTTGTAAAGTTTGGTATGTACTATTCATAAACACTCAACTTCATCTCACAATAATTCAGAGCACATGAGATGTAATAGGCGTGAGATTTATGGTTTGTCAGTTTTAATGATGTGTCTTGTTTGGCATTATTGCATTTCACACTTTTAATGAGTCAGAAATTTATTGCAAGACACATCCTTTATGTTCATAAAGAATGAGGCAGATCCCTTATCAAGGGCACAGTTTTCATTTTGCCTCTGCTCAACTTCTTGGTTTTTTATGAATGATTTTAAAAAAGCACCACATCATATTCTAATAAATGTGACATGAGTGACCTTATAAGATCCCTATTTATGTTTAAAAATATATGCTATATATTTGAAAATGCTTGGAAGAAGTTGAATTGCACTTGGAATATATCATACTGTACCTTTCTTCATATGCTTTTCAACAATTTCCCTTTCTTTGTTGATCTCCCTGCCCTAGCATCTGGAATGCAATATGTTCAGTTAAGTTTGTTTTGTTTTCTTTTAAAGATCAGAAGTCATTCATTTCTTGCCTTTTTAGGGAAGCATAGAGTGACAGGACTTCAGACCTTTCAAGTAACAGAAATTTGCCACAAATTGGAATGTGCTTTGATTATTCTGTTATTCATATCAATGCAGAAAATAGTATATAAAGAGTTATGCTAATATTTCAAAATGGGGGAAATTTAGACTGAATTTGGAATATGTAGTGGTACAACAAATGCCCCAAACTGAACTGAACTGAGAAATTGATGAATGTTTCAAAGGGTTGGATCCCTGCAAAAACTATGTTTGCAAAAACTACAATACTCTCTTCAGATTTTCATAGAGAAATTGAGCCAATTGATTTGACAGGTTGACCTTCTCATCACTGGCAACATTTCCTTCCAAATCATAGAGACTTGATGAAGTCCTTATTTCAAATGGCTATAGAAAACTGCTCGAAGATTTTCACCAAAGCATAATAATTGCTAAGATGAACACTGTATTATATTGTTAAGAACCATGCTCAAATCAAAATGCTTTCTTAAACCATTGGTTTCCCAACAAATACAATTTAATTGTCTTAAAAAGAATCTCAAGATCTGTGCTCCTATTGTTTCGTAATTTACAGATTTCTTACCCAAATAAACCAATTTCAGCAATTTACATTGAAATATTTGGTTAAACAGTGTTTGTGGAAGAGAAAATGATTTAATTAAATCTTTTGTCCTTTCAAATACTAGCTTTATCTCAGAATTTGTATGAAATATAGTAGGACCTATCTCCACAAGTGGGACAGCTATTCATGGACATTTCATCTAAATATTTCCCAAACTAAGCAACAGTGCAGACATTTTTTCTAAAATAAAAAGCAGAACCCATAGAAGCTTGATTCCAAAAATCCTGCATTTGTTTCTGCCAATTAGATGGTTTTCATAGCTTCAGAAGTACTTATTGTATCTTAAAATATTCTATTTTTTGACATTTCAACTGTTCATGATTTTCTTATTTTCATTAAGGGGAGGCTTGAATCTTGATTTAAGTGGGCAATAACTATCCAACTTGAAACGGGGC